TAAAAGGGATATCATTCACAAAATGGTGCCTGATGTGGGCAGAAAATGAAGTCAACAAAATTCAACTTGTTACATCCTTAATGTATTACACAATATCTCACACAGTAAATTTTAAAGTTTAAGAATCAGCTAATGTTAAAATTTATCAAAAATTACAAAATTGTATAAGAAAAGACCCAAATTTCATGGAAAATGATGCCAGAATTTTAAACCTATGTACAGCCATTTGATGTGAGTGTTGAAAGGAAACTTAAAATATTCTGATTATATAACTGTGTAAAAATTTAAATTGCACATGCACATGTATTTCATAATACCAGTAAAAATAATTTTTTACAATTTCCATCATTACATCTTTCTGACAAATGTCACAACTTGCAGCACCAATACATGTGTAGTTTTCATGAATTTGGCAAAGGATTATGTGTGACAGTGTTGCCTTTCAAAAAACTTATCATTTTGGACAAAACCTGGACAAAACCTTGACCTGCAATTACACACTATACTATAATTCCATGAAGAAGTGTTCCAACACTAAGTTACTTAAACTTAATCAATATGTTGAATGCAGGTATCTGATCATATACTGATGATGGTCCATACTGTCCAAGTATTGTAGTCTAACCATATTTCAACATTTTTGCAGTTATGAAGACTTTAAGACTGCTACTTGACTCTGATTGATGACTTGATTTGATATTTGGTGTAGTAGTATGTCAAATAATTCTTCATCCCAAATTTTATTTTTAAAATTAATAAAAAAGGTCCAAAATCATTATTTTATCTTCTGTAAAAGCATGTTAATCACATAAGTCATTTGTTCATAACATTTACTTCCCACTTTCAGATCCACAGATACTTTGATTACTGATTTCTTCTATGTTTTCTGCCTTCAAGTTCAACTGTACTATTTCTAATGGTTATTTTATACATGTACCTAGTACACAATGTTTATTTGGCACAATCTGTTGGCCTAGCTGTAGCTGTAAGTGCTAGCAAAGCTCTTCAACCCCTGTGAACAGTGAACACTGGATGAAACACATCTTTCTGGTTTTGGTCATATACCCTAAAAAACAGAAGTTATGACATTAATTCAATTATAAACATGTATAGAGTACTGTATATAAGAATTGTACAGTATGAAAACATCATTTAATTATACAGTAACAGTCCTGTTGTTCAAAGAAAATAACCATCTATATGTTAATAAATGTCAAAATATAGTCCACCTTAATTTCAGAAGAGGATAACAAGTAAATGGTGTTGATCCATTTAAACATCTATAGAAATCTGTCAAAATGCAGAAACTTAAAATTTGAAATTAAATTATCTCCTAAAATATTTCCTTCTGAGCTACTATTTAATTTATACTTTCAATACCCCATAAGCACCTTACATTTGGGAATAGTAAAATCCCTGTAGCTATCATGGCCAAACTTAAATAGTAACTTTGTTTTTGAGGCAGCCTGTAATTATGTGACCTTAAACACTCTATAAGACAGATATTTGTGCCTAACTTCTCCGAAGAGTAATATAACTTTAACAAACTCTTTACATTTCAAATGACCTATGGATTTTGGAAGATATATAATTGAGCCGCGTCATGACAAAACCAACATAATGGGTTTGCGACCAGCATGGATCCAGACCAGCCTGCGCATCCACGCAGTCTGATCAGGATCCATGTTGTTCGCTCACAAACCCTATAACAAGTAGAGAAACTGATAGCGAACAGCATGGATCCTGATCAGACTGCGCGGATGTGCAGGCTCTTCTGGATCCATGCTGGTCGCAAACCCATTATGTTGGTTTTGTCACGACGCGGCTCATATGTCTTATTTACATTTCTTGTCAAGAACTTTGACTGTCCATGAAGCAATGTTCTGTTCTTGTATTTAGACAAATGAATACTAAACTTTAAGCCATTCAGCTATAAAGGTCAAATAAATATAAACACATATGCCAAACGCCCCTAACAGTCTTTGCCTAAAAAAGGTTTGTGTTTTCAACTTTCAAGTAAAGAACAAATCCACTGGGCCCTCATTATAAGTTGTTTTTTTAATACATGAAAAGCATTAATCTCCTGCATAACCCTGACATGTATATTAATAAATCAATTTTGATAACTGTAATGGTCCTTTTTTATTAATTAATCTATAAATTATGATAACAGTTACAAGATTTTTTTATTTAAAAGCCACATAAATTACTCTATTGTGTTAAATCTGGAAGATATCTTGTAAATGTTTATATTAATATGTAACAATTTCAAAACATATCATCTACAGCTTCACATATTCTTGTTAACAAAATGAAATGAATATCAATATAGTGGATATTTTAGAATTTCTAAATATAATTACATTTGTATTTTGTTAATAAAAAAAAACCATAAAAAAAACCAAAAAAAAAACCAACAATTGTAAAAGAGTTTAAGAGAAATCAAACACTGTATGAAATAATTGCTACTTAATTTTCTATATTCCATGCACACATAGATTAAATTTCTGTTTAGCTGCATGGTTACATATTTTATACAATTTTAACACTTTATAGAATTATAGAAACTATTGTGGAGGCACATCTGTGTTGTAAGATCTGATCATGGTCTGCACTATTCACTTTTCAGTCACTACAAATTGTGAAGAGTCTTTTTCAAATTGATAAATGCTTTAGTCCATATTGAAAGATAATCTGGCCAATTTGAGAAATTTCACATTTAGTAATGCTAAGGGTGCTGAATCATGTTTTCCCTTGGTAGGTATGCATTTGTCATGATTCTGTGATCATTTAAATTAAAATAACTGAGTAAATAAATCCTGTTAACCACAAAAATATTTGTAAATATCCTTCATAAACTGTCATTTTATTAAAGGAGTGTGGCTGTCATTTTATTAAAAAAGTGTGGCAGTCTTTTTATATTTAGGATTCACTGATCAACTATCATTAATTTTTGTTCAATCACAATTTAAATAGTCTGTCTATTGAAACAATCTGGACAGTGAAAAATAATGTCACATTACTAACACATTATCACAAACTCAAATGTTTTAACATAAATCAAAATTCATACCATATTGACACCTGAACTGTCTTGACACCTGCAGATCAGGCTGGTGTACTATTGGCTACTTTATCAAATACAGTACAATCTCTATTCTCTTCAACATCACTTATAGGTGCATCTTCCTCACACATGATATAGAGTTGTCTGAATCAGAGTACAGTAGACATACAAATTTGTCCTGTCAATGTCTTTTATTACGATGTACAGTAGGCTACTGTAAATCTAGATCGCGGAAATTGGTTTCTCTCGCAAATTATGTCGATGAAGGTGCGCTTTTCCTTAAAAAACAAAGTTACTTAAATGACCATGTTGAGAACAATCAAATGTATCCAAATTTTGTTCAATGGTTGCACGAAAAACAAACTTCTGTAATGATGTCTGGCACCGGTTACGCTATTTCTTGTATTTTGTTTACATAATTTTGAGGAAATACCCGTCTATTTATAATTTTGTACACACGTCATCTGTTTCAACCAATGAAAATGCGTATAAAGATTTTAGGCTGATTTGGAATTTGGAAAACTTTCATTGGTCGTTTAAAGTTCACGGTAAAGGTCAATATCATGAATCGACGGGTATTACAGCAGCGGTCTGAAGTAACGGGAGTGTATTCAGTAAGCTGCGAAGGGAGCGTAGCTAGGGCGGTGACCACAACAATTGTAGCAAATGTTAAAGCTTTTGTCAACAAAAATCGTCGAGTAATTTTGGAGGAGGTAGCCATCAAGTTTAGCATCGGTAAGGCATGGCACACAAGATTTTACACGAACACCTAGGTATGAGCAAGGTAAGTGAAAGGGGGGTGCCTAGACAGCTGTCAGCAGATCAACAGGCAACCAGAGTAACCAATGCAAAAGAACATTTAAGTCGTTTTAATCGTGAAGAAGATAAGTTTTTGAACCGCATTATCACTGGAGATGAGATGTGGGTTCATTATTCCGAACCTGAGACAAAAGCTTATTCAAACCAGTGGAAACGAGCTGGCTCCACACCTCCTTAAAAGTTTAAGCTGTCTCTCCTTCGACTGGCAAAGTCATGCTTGTTGCCTTTTGGTATTCACGAGGAATTATACCTACTCATTTCATGCCAAAAGGTCAAACTGTCACCGCCAAGTACTATTCTGAAGAAATTCCGAAAAATTTCAGAGAAAAGCTGAAACAAATGCGTCCCAGGTTAGCACAGAAAAAAATGTCCTCTTTCTTCACGATAACGCTTCCTCCCATACCGCCGCAGCTACAGTGGAGGTTATCAACTCTTACAAATGGCAATTGCTGTCTCAGCCCAGACCTTGCCCCCTGTGACTTTTATTTGTTTAAAGACCTGAAAAAATTGCTTCCTGGAAAGAAATATAAGACCAGGGCGGCTTTGATATCTGCTGTTATACAGTACCTAAAACAAAAGCACCAACGAAGATGGCAAAAGTGCGTAGACGTAGGTGGAGAATATTTTAAAAAAGAGTAGAAAGTTTTTTTTAAATGTTGAATGGTTTTCGAGAACGAGTCAAAAGTCCGGATATTTTCTGACTTCCCCTCGTTTTTCGTTTTTTCTATAATTTAGCGTTATAATATACTGTAATAAAGAACACTTAACTGTAATGTACTGTTATCAAGAATAGCGAACTGTTATATACTGTTATAAGGAAAAGTCAGCTTTTATAAACTGTTAAAAGAGATTCAAGAAATTGATACTCTGATATAAGGAACAGTTAATGGTAAAGTGTGAACAAAACCTCATCCGAAATGTACATTTCAGGACACAAATGAAGTCTTAATTGTCTTCGTGCAAAACATGTGACCAATCATTGTTTTGTTGTTGTTTTTTTTAAAAATATGTTGACTGTTGAATTAAAAACAAAACAAAACATATATGTCGAAGGGGACAATTTTCTAACATGTGTTTATATCGTGGCCATTAGCAGGACAGACACGCATGCGTTTTTAACTTGTAATAGATAGGCATGCGCCGTTGATAAGTTAGTGAAATTTGATCATACGAATTTCAATGAATCGCCCGTTTCGAAAAGGCGGAATTTAGTCCTGGATTGAAGCACATGTAATAAAGATTATTACAGAAAGGTAGAGTAAAAGTACATTATTTGTGTTTTACTGTAAGTCATTTATATTAGATTTTATTTATGTTAAACCGACTTAGCATTTTATACATTTGTATTAAAACATATTAAATCATTTGGCTAATATGACCTTGAGGTAAATATAATACCAGAGTATATTGGCAAGAAATACTTTTTAACAAGAACAATACATAATTGCAATAATTTATTTATATTTAAATGTCACAATCGTTTTAAGAAAAGCAGACAAAATTGTTATAATTATGCAGAAGAAAGTGTTTTGACTAAGTCAGTAGTCAACATTTTATGTTAGAACAGTATATTTGTTCCGGACAAAGGCCGTCTCAAATCAGTTTCACTTCCTGTAAAAAAATACTTGACCGAGGTAAGGTAAATCTGTTGTTTTGAAAAAAATATAAAACGTTATCATGAGATTTACAAAGCAATGTAAAATAGATTGTTGGAGGTGAACTTTAATATAAAAAACACTAGAAAGTGAGAGAACTTAAAAAACTTTCAATTCTGGAAATTATTTAACTTATCTTAGAATGGCCAAAACAATTCGCAGATTTATTTACAAATTTCATGAATAAATATTCATCTTAAATTCAATTGTTTAACTTTTAAAGATGTCAGACTGTTTTTGAAGGCCTTTGGCCAAAATAAGTATGCAGAAATTTCCCAAAAGTGTATCCAACAAATACTATATCATTGTATCCATCTTGGCATTGAAGAAAAATATAATCATTTCTATGCAAGGCGGCACACAATTAATATATGCCAAGGTGGTGATAATTTTGTTTAAATGATTTTAAGTAAGCAGTACGATTTAAGATAGACTTTACATTCATGTTATATTGAACAGCTTAAACAAACATAGTTAAAAACGAACATGAACAGAAAATGAATGAGTTGCTTGTCTGTAGTGTTCACACGTGACTAATTCATTGTGTAATGTGTTTGCTTTTGTATTAAAGCAATTTGATTTAATATAAAAGGCGATAGTGGATAAGTTTGTTTATATCATTACACAGATACGCATGCGCTTCTACTGTTTGATAGATATGCATGCACTGTAGATTTGTGAAAGATATTCATGCGTAGCTAAATGGTGCGCCCGCTTCGAAATGGTGGAATTTGGTCCTGAATAAAATAAATAACAAATTGAAAAATATTACAGTAAAATATACATTATTTATGTTTTACTGTAAAACATTTATTCTAAACTATTAAAATGCTAAACTCATAGAAGATGTTATGTACATCACATTTCGCTCATTGAAACAAAGGTTTTTCTTAATATATGACTTTGAGCAAAGTGTGATACCAAAGTATATAGAACAGATATACTTTTCAACAAGAACACAACATCGCTGCAATAATTTGATATTTTCTATATTTAATTTTAGTATCGATTGGAGATGTACAGGCACAATTGTTGATATATTGCAATAGGAAATGTTTCTAACAATTTATTGAAATCAGTACAGTTTTAAATTTATCACTTTCTCTTGCAAATGAATACTTAAACCTAAGTTAAAACTAAACAAAATATGTTTTTTTACTGAACATTCATATACATATATTTTGGTAATGAACCCCAAGAAATCAAAGACTGTACAGTTTATAATCTGGTGAGGGTTTTTAAACAAAACTCATAAATTTAATTTTGTTTGACTAAAGTAGGTAGAATATGATATAAGATTGCCATTGAGGTTCTACGAATAACAAATACTAAACTGTCTTTGTGTTCTGGCTTTAAAGCGACTACCAGAACTAATATATGTGTATAAGTTATTTTCTCTCAATACATATGTATTGGTATGCCAAAGAAAAACGAGCCTAAAACAGAATGCAATTTGCTTGGACCTCTTGACATAGTAAACTTTTACATTCAATTTTAATCAGCAAGGAGATCATAACGGACATTTATGTTACATTTTTTTGATGCGTATATTTACGGATTACTGCAAGAAATTTTGTATTTGTCTCATTGCAGGAAAAACTTATAAATGCAAAAAAATCAAAAAAAAGAAAAAGGGGTCATTAAATCATTGGCCCTTAAAAGGTTCAAAAAATGCAGAAAAAAATTTATCAAATGGTTCCCCAAAATTAAAGTGACTTTTAAAAAGCTAATGCAATGATAATTTTTAAAAACCAAGCTAAAAAAAGTTTTCAATTGATAACACGATGTTATAACATTGTGTGCATAAATTTAGAATATTTCAAAAGCTAACGTAAATTCTTCGTTTCCAAAACGTTCATTTATTTAGTCAGCGATGTAGAGTGGCGATTATTATAATATTGTCAAAGTAACACTTCCTATTATTGACAATTATTGACGTATACATTGTACTTATACATTGTTTATACATTGTGTTTTCCCAGACCAGATGGTTATCTGTATGCTTTGAAATGTGTTTGATTATGAATGGCCAATATTTCAAGTGAAGGGTTTTCTTCATGTAAACTACGTTTCCAGTAATCGTTTACAGTATAATTATGCGAATAATGACATATAAGTTTTCAATAGAAACAATATTAAATCAGAGTCAATTCTTCATACGAAATTGTAATACTTTCTTCAGAAAAAAATTAAAATTGAGAATTAGAACTTTTTTCGACTTGAATAGGGTATGTAAGTCTCGTCATGTGACTTGCGAGATTTCACGATATTTTGCACTTCCAACTACCATACATTTTTACAACATTGCTTATCTATATTGGGTAATACTTGTATGCCGGTTGGAAAGTAAAACTTACACAGAGAGCAAAGGATATGTGGAAATTGGCAAAGTTTTTTGTTTTGTAACGAAATGCAAATGGTTTTATCTTGTGAACAAGTATCAATGAAAGACAACTTCGTTAATTTTCATGTGGGTGTGTCATTTCGAATTCAGGTTATCGCAATAAGTGTTGTAATATTTTCATGTCCATGTAAATCTAATAAATTTGTTATTTGATACAACATCATTCGCACCTGACTTCAGACTGGGGAATTTGATTTTTTCAATTTTCTATAGCGCTACCTGATTATCTCTCAGAAGTATATAATGTTTAGAAATTTCGGACAGCGCATTTTTCGGATTAAACGTTTCATTATGATTATCAGTATGTTTTAGTTGATTATATTTTCTTCTAACTGAAAATATTATTTATTACTATTATCTTTATAAAGGACAAACAGTCAAGCTGTATATAACCAATTTAAATTGTCATAAAATTCAATGAAATATTTTCTCCTGTAGATATTTAGACTGAGGATAGTGGTGAGATGAAAGACGTCAGTATCCGATGTAAATACACATGCATGATCTGCTGTAAAATCGTTTTGGTAAGAAATATTCTTGTATAACATACTCTTCTCGTTTTTGTAAATACTTACAGTGTAGCTAAATAAACAAACAGTATGGCATATGTAGTTAATTCATGTTAAATACTGTTTAAAGTATTTTTCTCAAGTGAGTGGGTCATATTTTTTAGTTAAATCTGTCTTTGTTAGAAATAAAAAACCTGTCATTTGTAGCTTTGTATTAACTTAATTTTTCAAAGATAATTTATCTTCTGCAAATGGCTGTCCAAAACAGTTTTAACCAGGCACCATGTAGTTTCAAAACAGTTAAGATAAATTTATTATAAATAGACTTGTAAGGTGACATGAATGGTAAAAAGATGTTCTGCATTAAAATGTTGCTATCTTGATTGAGTTTCATTTCATACTATCACCATGATCACTGCCATTGTAAAGTAATGTAATCTATAACCATTATTAAATATTATAAAAATCATCTCAAAGAAAAATTTGTTTCTGAGGCAAGATGAGTAAAATTACTTCCAGTTATAGCCTTTCACTGCTCTTAGAAAAGCCATGATTTGCATTGTACATGGCAGGTAGTAATACCAAAGTAAACAATATTAATGTAATTCATCTGCGTTGAGTATTCTGTAGCAAAACACTAGTTTGCTAGAAAGCCCAAGTCTGTCTCTTTATCACAAAATTGGAGAAGACTTGCAATTCTGCATTCCTTGAAAGAGGGGCAGTTATTTACATACCATATACTTCTTTGTGTTTCAAATTACCTGTTTTATAATGTATTGAACCTGTTGACATTTGGCCAAAAGTGAATTATCTGTACAAAACATGCAAAACTTAGAGTTTGCACTTGATACAAAACAAGTACATCACTGGTACATTAATATACCAATGTGGACTGTTTCAACATTGTCAATGTTTCAAAAAAAACCCACACAATTCTTTTAACTTCTGTCCATGTACATATGTGTAAATGTAGTCATTGAAGAGCTGTCAAGAACTTTTCATCAATATTATTTAGATAGTGTCTGTTTCCATTTCATGACAGACAAAATGACATGCATAGTATTTACTGTAGTCAATGCTTGCATATTCAAGCAATCTAGCCATTTCTGTTAGATAATTTAAGTACACAGTGGCACTTATTTTGCAGATGAACCCTTATGATCAAGCACTGCTATAAATATATGCCAAATAGTAGAAACAAAAAAAATAAGTTCATATGTTTGAAAACTCTTATTTTTACACAATTTATAGTGCACTGCTTTGCAAATATATCACACTGATTTTCCAGTGGAAGAAAAACTTCAGGAAAGCACTTGAAATTATTATTATTTATTTGGACAATGGAACTTTAAACCATAAATGTCTACTGATACAAGAATAAGAATATTTCCTTTTACAAATGTAAAGAATTTGAAAATTTAATTGAACAAATTATCATAGAGTTATAAATCATATTCTAATTGAAAAATTGTCAGCTTGATATCAAAGCTTTGAATGCAAATTTGTGAGCTTATCAATGATTACCTCACAATATAAGTAGTAGCTGATATATAACATTTTTTCTATTTCTTTTTCATTTTTACATCATAGTCATTTACTGTCACTGTGATTCCATGAAAATCTTTATATCTGGTGTGTTTTCTACTTTGGTATTTATAGAGTATCTTGCTTCAATACTTAAAACTGCAATGAAATGTGAATATTTCACTCTGTTTCTATCAATGTGACATTAACAAGTTAAGTAGATTATGGTATCATAGTGTCAAACACCATAAAATCATACTCTGTCACATTAATATTTTTGTGCTGGATGTCATTCATCTTCTTCAGGAAAGTACATTTGACTATTCTCAGTGGCTTATATTAAACTAATATTTCACTATAACTGTGTGTTCTCTAATATCATTCTCAAATTAAGAACAGGAAGATGTTAGTTGCAATAAAGGTCTTCATGGGCAAATTCTCCTTCATTGTTTTCCTTTTTTCAGCAGAATGAAAAAATCAATAAATATGTTGTATAAGTGTAAGACCTGAATACATTTCACTGAGTAAAACACTAGAAATGATATTTACATTAGTTTTAATAAGTTGGTCATGATTGACAGAAAATTTCATATTTGAAGTAAATAAACATTAAATGTAAACAACAGCACATAATATATAGCAGTAAAAATATTGATCTTCAATGTGGAACATGACTGTGTTTCATGTTTTAGTTACTTATCAACTATCGTGCAGTGAAATCCAAAAATTATTAAAATATTTTGATAATTGTTTATCTTTCCGATCTCAAAAGTAATCAATTATTTTACATGTATTTACCATTGATGTATAGATATTTCAGGATCATAGGCAGTGCAAACAGTTGATTTATGGTTCATAGTGAACATTTATATATTCTATACTTGTCATATACCTCCCTGTCTACACATCTGAAATGGTTTATTCAAAAATGATATTTTTTTTAATTTTCAATCATAATTTGCTAGGTACCATATTAACAAGTATATATAATTGAAACAGGAAGAGAATATAAGTGTAAGTACCTTGATACTATTCCCCATAGTAAGAAATGTAACAATACTATTAAACTTTGCATAAATCTATGATCTATCCATCTAATTATTTAATTATCAAAACTTTTACTTGGGACCTGGGGTTTATTATACTAATGTATGTAATTGAAATCTTAATAGAATGGAAGGGAAGAAATATCCGAATTACTGTGCAATGTCCGAATTTTGTATAACTTTAAAATACACTAGAATTAAAGTGTTTCTCCATTGTTTATTTCAATAAGTTAAAATGGATGGAATAACTTTCTCACAATTGTAGTTTTAAAATAATACTAAAAGCTAAACAACTAGAATTCACTACCATGACAAAACATCCGAAACAATTGTCAGTATCCGAAAATAAACTGGTTTTATTAAACTTTATAAATTCCTCGGTTTTCCGTCAGATAATTGACTTACCTGCATTTTTTGACCCGTGTTTTCCATTCCTTCAAATCTGAAGAGGACCGAAACAAATTTAACTTCTATATTTCTCGAGTTCTGCGGGGTTACCTATATGCGTAACGGTAAATAAGTCTGCCGATGTATCCGGAAGTGGTAAATAGAAAGTGAAAGTAAACGAGACTTACGGGCCATATTGCATGACAATTTAAAGGATTATTGAAAACATTCCTATATACGCCCTCAAACAGGTTCTACACGTTCATACATTAAATTGTGTTATGAATTACTGGCTATTTAATGAATAATACTTTAATATGTTGTCTTACATTACATGATTAATCTTAATTTTCTTAAATCTTTGAATTTAATTTCATTTATGGCAAAGTCCTTGGATCGGTTATCTGAGGTTGCACAGAGGTGACATTTGTGCATTTTTATTTATCTCTGGCGCACGAGATACTATGCCGTTGCCACGAGTTTCTAGTCGTTAGATAATTAAGTGGTGCGCACGAGATAATATGTCGTGGCCACGAGTTACTAAGTCTTGGTAAAGAGATGATTAAGTGGTGTGCAAGAGAAACTATGTCGTGGCCACGAAATATTCAGTCGTGCGCAGAGATATAATATCGATACACTATTAGAAACAACGAATATTTGACACTAAATCATTAAAGAGTAAAGAAATATTACACTTGAAAGGTGCAAAATATGTACGTGCACGATAATAGAATTCAGTCGATCCGAGTCCAAGATGATAATTACGAGCGTTTCGGTCCATGACATCCTACTTTATATCTGACTAAAGTTTTTCGTGCAACATTTACCTTTGACAATTCTGAAGATATTCATTTTATACATGTTTTTAGGATCATATTGGAAGGTCACATGGCCAATAAATCAGACATTAATTTTGAGTTAGTTATGGCCTTTCGTGGGGGTAATTCTGAGATAGAATTGGTCAATATGTACTGCCTGTTAACTCTGTTAATTATAACTTGAGAAGGACTAAGCCCCGGCGGTTGATTTTATTTAATAAGACGAGTAGATTTCCTATATAGATGTTTGAGGTCAAGACAACAAATACTATTTATGTAAAACACTTGTCTGATGAATAATAAGAAGGATTTAGCAATGGTTTATATAACTAATAATGATCATTGCACCTGATCAGTAGATGACATTGTGGTCATTGTGTCAGAAATCACGATCACAATGACGCTGACTGTAAAGTCATTGTCCAATCAATAACTTGCATTTATGGCACTTTGACAAACAGGTGAAGTAGTGGCATTATTGTCCTATTGCCAGTTTCTAGTTAACTAGGAAAATTTATATAAATAGAGTAATCTGACTGGTTCAAATATCTCGTGCGCACGTCTTAATTATCCCGTTGGCATGACTTAGTAACTCGTGGCGACAACATAGTATCTCGTGCGCACCACTTAATTATCTCGTTCCCACGACTTAATTACTCGTGGCCACGACAAAGTATCTCGTGACCACGATTTAATTATCTCGTGTCCACAACTTAGTAACTCGTGGCCACGACATAGTATCTGGTGCACATCAACTAATTATCTCGTAGCCACGACTTAGTTACTCGTTGCCACGACAAAATACCTCGTGCGCAACACATAATTATCCCGTGGTCACGATATAGTAACTCTTGGCAACTACAAAGTATTTCGTGAACACGAGATAAATAAAAACGCACAAATGTCACCTCTGTGTCACTGTAGTTATCATTACCAGTATTTGATATGTCTTCTTTTCAATTTAATTAATCTTTTATCCCCCGGGAGATGCTTTGGTAGTTTAGCGCGGAGGAAGGTAGTCTAGTACTGGTGTAACTCTCCAGGAACGATGGTTAGGAAACTACCCGCCTATATGACTGAAATACTGTTGAAAAAGGCGTAAAATGAAACAAAAAAAGAAAAAAAAACATAATCTTTTATCAATATTTTATCAGTGCTCAGTGTGTAAACAATGAGTCACTTCCCGTTACACACATGAGTCCCATCCCGGCAAAATATATCAGTTTCATGTTTAAGATAAGAAAAGGAAGAATTTTGATCTCGGGGTCATATCATGACAACTGATAACTTGACATTTTGAACATTAAAACGCATGCACTGAGGTTGTAGATTTTATCTTGTTGTGATTTAAATGTCGGAATTGAACCTTGGATAAGTGTTATTTCAAGTGTCGTAACAACGACACGTTGGCCACGAAGCCACTTTAAGCTCGTTAAATTTTGTTAAAAATTTACATAGAATGCAATGGGTTTTTCTACTCGGTAATAAATAAAGATACATAGTTTCTTTTTTCACTTACAGTAACCTTCTTCTGGAATTGTTCTGTTGTCTCTATATTTGTATTTAAACATTACAAAATTTATCAGCAAAAGTGTAAACATGTATTTTATCACTGGTAACCTTGACCCTACTAACGCCGAACTCCACTTACAATTTAAATAATGTTCTTACCGTATAAGAAAGAGATGGTTTAATGAGTAATGTATTTTTAGCTCTGGCGACCTTGACCTGAGTCTAGTGACTAAACTAACAACACTTTTAAATGGTATCTTTTTACAAAATATGAAAGTAATCTGTCAATAAAGCAATGCTGTATGAGCAATAATGTTAACATATATTTTAGCTCTGGTGACCTTTACTCCACCAAAAGGTAGAGGTAAGTATGTTCCTATTTAATATCGATAACATTGCTCTATATGAGCAGAAGTGTAAACATATATAAGTACCATAGACGCAAATCCATACTTATAGTTTGAGGAATATTCAAGATATCTACCTTCAAAAAGTACAAGATATCGGTAAAAATGAAGTCTTAAGAAATAAACTTGAGATATAGATAAGTTGCCTGAATGACCATACAAGGTCCTATATTCAAAATGATAAGGTAAGGTATATAACTGGGGAAAATTATCGTAACTTACCAAGATCATGTTCTTTGTAATGAGTGTGTGCTAAGATTGGCACAGATAAAACTTACGAAATATCCAACTTTCCGGAATAAATTAACCTTACAAGGTGTTATATTCAACGTGCTAAAAAGGGAAGATAACTGGTGAAATGGAAACCACAGTTATCTTATTTGCAAAGATCATGGACATTGGTAAGGGTGTAAAATATAAAGCTATTGATAGAGACGTAACTTAAGATGCCCCCATCTTGTCGGCTAATCCTTGTTTACTCTTTGTTCTTTTATGTCACATCAAAGGAAAACAGGGACTTAAAGCTGACAGAATAAATGACATCAAAGAAAAAGTTACCTATTGTTCATGTGGCAACATATGTATCCTCTCGTATGCGCGGAAAGATGGGCACAGGCGGACGGACAGATATACAGACACACGAACAGCTTAAAAACTTTATGTCCCGGACATAAAGAAGGAAAATATTTGACTGCATGTATTTAATAAATTTGTTTTGTGATTTTTTAGTCGTTTTATATTTTTTAAGTTAACTGGCTAATGCCTACAATATTGTTTAGCTAAATTATTTAGATTTTGTCACACCGTAAGCGTCGAAGCGAGGCTTAGGATAAACTTCTATGGTTTAAACTCAATTATGCGTGCATTACATACACACATAAATGTACTGTACACTTATATCTGTTTCATTTGGAATGTACAATGTGTGTAATAAATATTCAATCTGAACTTAAAGATAAATCATCGGTAAGACAAAACAACAATGTTTTAAAACATGTAATATTATCTCCATTTGATTATGAAATATAGCATGTTTCTGTGAATTCAACTTACACTTTACAAAAGAAGACATTAAAATAAAAGAAGAGTAGTACTTTTACGAAACTGTATACCTACAAATGGTTTCACTTATCTACTTACAAAAAATGTTTGACGAGCATGAAGGCAAACATTGGTTGTTTGAAAGTTTGATTTCCATTTGTTCAAATAGTTTAATTATCAATATTGGTACTTACACCTGTAGAAAATCCGTTTCTGCAAAGAAATTAATTATTAACTACAAATATTAAAAGGCCAATCATTGTTATTGATTTCAACACGCTTAGGTTAATTCGTGGATCATGCATGTCAAAGTCTACATTAATTAGAAATTTAAAGGAATTGTATGATGGTAAGAGCTTGTAATTTATGACATATTTTAAAGGAAGGAGCTTGTGCTGTTGTTGTTGTTTTTAACGACAAAGGAGCAAATTATGTTCAAGCGCAATTTGTAAAAGAAATGAAAGGTATAAGATCCTGCATCTGATAAGAAAATTAAAAAAGTGAAAGGGTCGATGTTCACTTTGAGTTAAATGTGATTTAAAAGATTTAAAAAGATGACAATGATAAGTCAGTGAGTAGTTGCTTATTAAATACCAGATAATAAGTGTGGATTCCGTATTCAATTTGATAAACGATTTGTACGAATTGATATGAAGCGGTTATTGAAAAGATCAATAAATTTAATACTTAATCTACATAAATTCTATCACATATTCTGAAAATACTGATACATGTAAAACAAATATATTAGTTTGATATCACTATTCTAAATGAAAGTGACAAACATATTTGCATATTACATGTTTATGCACGGCGGGGCCTTGCCGTGTTTACGGAGTCCCCAAAATGGCATGGGTTTGTGATAAATAAAATTCATATAGCTAATTCGACAAAAACTATGAGGTGTAAAGAGGAGTTGATGTTTTGTATCAGTGAACAGTCATCAAGGGAGGGAAAGTGATAATGTTTTAACTGATATATTCATGGGGTAAATGTGACGCTAGAATGACATTGAACCTTACATATTGCAAGCTAAAACACGCAAGGAAGAACAAGCGCCTAATTGTCTGGACGCATAAGGTCAATCTTTAAGAGCTGATATTGTATATATGTTATTAAGTTTTCAAAATAATTCATTTTTTATCGATGCTTTTAAAATTTCAGTCTCAATAAAAATACTGCTACAGTATGAAGAACAAAAGTGCATGTGTAAGAGAGTTGTTTGATTTCAAGCAAACATTTCAATTTAACTACATTTTTTTTTAAAATCAAATGGTTAAAATGTGTTAATGCATGCATATTAAAGGCTTTGCACAATCATTTCATCTAATAAAACTAGATAAGGTATTCACTATTATGACCTGTTACAACTTATAACCACAAACTAATTAAGCAACTATTGTAGGAATGACCGGGATTTTATGATCTCTTACAATATTTAAAGAACAATATAATGTATTTGCATTTCTAAATTTCATTTAATTTATGCAATGTTTCTGTTTTTAGGGAGTAAAAGTAAACGGTGATCCTGACAACATTGAATTGTGTCTCTTTACAAATGCTCGTATTTTTGGTTGAATAAACACAAGATCAAAAATCTCCTTCACGACCGAAAGAAAACAATTGTAGACTTCAATTACTTCTATGGAACTTCTTCATTTAGATTCATTTAGCATAAAACAATTATAGTTATCATTATAGGTTGTGATAGCAAAAGAAACATATCTTTAAAAACAGTGTTTGCAATTCCAATTCCAACAATACCTGTGCATTGTAGTGTTATTGAAAATCATTTGGATGAAATATATTTTAAAATTAATACTCGTATTACGAAAATGCAAAGAACTGTTATATCATCTTTTGGGATCAGAAAAAAGATTTTGAACATATTGTTTATATGTGTCATAGGACTGGTAACATATGCTAGTTTACACATCATGTTGTCACATCTCAGACTGTCAAACAATGCCAAAATACCTGCGAATATAAAAGAAATGCACATGGCAACATCGAACAGAGTTCAACATTTTTTTTGGACAGAACTTGAACAATTACAGCATAACCGGACTAGGGACAGGGAAAAACATCAGACAACAGAAAGGATTATCCGAAAAGAATTCAGTGACGGTTTAAAAGAAGATATTGCTCGTTTAAGCGACCAAAACCACATTAATAAAGAAAATAATGCTCCGCTAGACAGTCAAAAAACCATTGTTACAATAAATGAAACCAAAAGTTTTCAAAATAAAACTGCTTTAAGAAAAACAACACAACTAAAAAGACAACCTATCTGTACCTCATGTTTCCAACACAACTTCAATTATGTGATACAAAACAAAAATATATGTCAGTTGTATTCTTCAAATCAAACAATAGAATTATTAGTCCTCATCATGACGACACACAAAAACAATAGAGCAAGAGCGGCACTGAGATCAACTTGGTTGTCTGTGACGAAACACAATAAAGGAAATGTAAGATACGCCTTTCTCCTAGGTGAAATCACTGATAATTGGCAAAAAGAAGCTGTCCTCGAGGAAAACAATATTCACCATGATATAATAAAGGAAGATTTCATTGACACATACATGAACTTAACTTACAAAACACTTATGGGTTTTAAGTGGGCAACAGATTTTTGTCAGACAGCTGTTTACGTCATGAAAACCGATGATGATATGTTTGTAAATATTCCAAATCTTTTGAAAATGTTAACGAATACTAATAAAGAAAAACTACAGACATCTGTAATGGGTGCATGTTTTTTAAGAGCAAAACCTATACGGAGCAACGAATCAAAATGGTTTGCCTCCTATGAAAGCTATCCGGATGAATTTTACCCAATGTTTTGTTCAGGGACAGGATACGTCACAAGCATGCATGTAATAAATGAAATATATTTAATATCACCAAATATTCCTTTCTTTCATCTAGAGGATATCTATGTTTCATTTTGTGTCAGAGCATTAGGCTTAGAGGTTCAGTCTATGCCTGGATTTAAAGTTGACCCAGTGGGAATAAATACATGTGTTTATAAAGGTGGTCATTTAATAACTGCTCATGGGATCACACCAGACATGTTGCAGAATATATGGAATAGTAAGTGTGATAGAAAATATATAAAATTATGGTATTTATTGTACAGCCAATTTATAATGGTCATCGTGGTATTAAACCTTTGCGTCGTAATGTTTTGTATATTCAAAAGATATAAAGACATATGCCAATACTTCACAAGTGTTTATGAATATTTTAGATTACATAGTTTCAAATAACATGCTTGATATATAGTATGCATTCAGGAAAATATAGAGTGTGAATTAACTTTAGACAAGGCCAGTTGTCTATAGATGTAATCCTTATGATGGCCAAGAATTCGAAGCTGTTAATGATTTCACTTATCTAGGTAATTTTTTAATTTTACTGGTAAATTTATTCTTAATCAAGAACATTCGATTGGAAAAGCTTTAAAATCAACGAACATGCTGTTATGTAAATGCAAATATTATGATCCTACCCCAAAAACATTATGTCAGTTGTTTAATGCCTTCGTTTCACCAATATTAAATTATTCATTTGAACTTTGGGTTAATTCTAAATTTAAGGAAGTTGAAAGAATATATTTAAAGATCCTGTATGTTGTAATCAAAGTGGTAAACCGTTGGTGGTGGTGGTGTGTGGTTTTGTTAGTTTTCCCTCCGGATCACGACAGTAAGAAAACCACACTAAGTGAAACTATATATATGTACATAATTATGCAAATAAAACAGTTTTCAAACATTGAAAAATATGTAAAATATGTACTGCGAATATTTGTGCACATTATATGTAATCATTAAAATATATGCATTCATTTCTTATTGTACAATTTCACTTAAACTTTATAGAAAAATCATATTTAATGCATATATAGAAATGGTAAAACTTGTTTCGAATATGAAAGTTATTTAGATATACTACCTATTTGTTTTAGATTTTATTTTTGTAGACTAAGAATGATTGGTCTTCAGCTTAGAATTCAAAATGATAGAATTAGTAGAAATAGGATTCCTTGCGAAGAAATATATTGTTTGTGTTGCAGCTTTTGAAGATGAATAGATCTAGGTACCATGTTATTTGTCTATGTACATGCCATTACGTTATAAGAAAACAACACCTAAAACTTACTATTACAGAAACCTGTCAGACTGCAAATTTACTGAACTGTTAAACTCAAGAAAAATATATGAGTTTATACGTTTTTTTTTTGTTCAAAAATTGTTAAAGAAGCTTTTTCCATTAGGAATACACTTTTAACTCATAATGTCTGAAATTGAATCAATGTTCATTCTCCAAATGTTTTGTTTCCATTCCAATAATATTCATAATTAATCTTATTTATTTATAAAAGTATACACAGTAAATGTACATCTTTTTTCATAGCTATATGCTTGTTGTTTGTTTGTTTATTTGTTAATCTATTTATTTATTATCATGAAATTATTGTATATATAAATTGTGATATCCAGGTTTTGTTGTAAATTTTGATGCAGCATTTATATATGCGAATATGATGTATTGTAGATGATGTACTATGTACAAGTCGTAATAAAATTTCTGTTCTATTCTGTTCTTATTTCAGACGACAATGTATTTACCAGAAGCTCTTCAAAAACAATCTTAACCAATTAGAGGCGTATTGTAAAAGTTAACGTTAAAAAGACTAAATTATGGTATTGCGAAAGGTTGGCCAATGACCAAAAATCAGGCTTGGACATAAAACGAGCAGAACATAGACATTGTTGAAAACTTTATTTACCTAGGTTTTGTAATGAGCAGTGGCGGTTCATTTCAAAAAGGCATAGATGCAGTAGCAGATAAAGCTCTTAAATTAGTATTTTTCTCAAAAACATCACTCGAGGGAAGCAAATACCACTGCATATAAACTTTAACCTTTTTGATGCGTATGTAACATCTATAATGTCATATTGTTCTGAACTGTTGGGATTCAGCCAAGCAGAAAAAACTAGAGCGACTTCATAAAAAAATATCTTAAATGGACATCGGATGAAAAATGAGTACAAACAGTTATGCGCTTATTGGTGAAACGGGAATGTTTCCGTTAATTTAAAACAGAAAAGTACATATAATAAACTTTCAAACGATTAAATTCAAACGATAAGAATTGCATTTTATATTCTGTTTACAATTTTCTATTTGAGTGAAATGATTTACAAAACAATCGGTTATCAACGGTCAAGACTACACTCAGAGGCACTTATAACCCGTCACTTATATAAATTGGAAATTTTGTGGAAGGATTTTGTTTAAATTTGGACCATACAAAATTCAACATTTATACTAACTAGTTAAAATTTTATTTACAATTCATTGGCAAGAAAATTGAAAAGAATAACAAAAGAAATAGGCTGCTGTAAATTGAAATAGCTAAGAAAATCTTAACTAACTAAACAGAATCTGAATCCTACTGAATCTGTATGTTACTCAGTTCTGAAACTTTGGATATCCTGACATATATATAACAACGTAAACACCTCTGCCTCATATTTGTCGATTCCGGAACAAGGGCTTGCTCGGGTACCAGCAAAATACGAGGGGCTACTAGTCGCTCTCTCAAACTCCTATTCAATTCATATTTTATTCAAATTTGAACCAAATCCGTCCGCAAATAACCAATTTATACCGAAAAACGTAAGTGTCGGGTTATAAGTGCCTCTGAGTGTATGTTGCAATAGACAGGGTTTAATGTCTGCTGTTTTTCTACATCTGTTGCTAACATATGGTGCTTTATTACACAATTTAGGCTTAGGCTTAAAAACATTTATATAGGACAGTTGAGGGAGTCAGTTAATATTTCAACAGCATTGACTCTATATAAAAAAAATCAAACAAACTTTTGAAATGTCTGATTACTTGACAATACTTCATGATAACATATTCAGAAATGTATAGACTTAGACTTTCTTCGCACTGTCTAACGAAGTCCAACAAAGCATTGCTGAAAACATTGAGTGCTTATACACTGTGCATATCAAGTAAGGCAGGAATGTGCAAATGACGTAAAAGTAACGCCGAATCTGTGCAACGAATAACACAGTAGGTAAACGAACCAAAATATTTTATTGTAAATTAAATTAAAAGAAATGAATTAGCGCATACGGCTGCTACAACATTACATGTATACTTTAACCAGCATTAGATCTACAATTTTTTTTCAGGAATATGTTTACTTCTTTAGATCGATCGTGAGAAAGACAACCTGATTACCGTTTTGAGGGTGACGTTTGTATTATCGTCAAATAAATATGTCAATTTAACACATTTAAAACATTATTTTTGTCATATTCTGTATACCTGTAGTCAAACTACAAGTGTCGTTTAACAATAGAAGGCAGCTGGTAAAATAAGATTGAGCTACTTTTAATGTGATAAACCGCCGTTGCTTCAGTGCTTCATTCACGAATTCGGCGTTACCTCGTAAAAATGGTCTCATTTACGTTCTATTTGCTAAATTAAAGGGATATTTAGGCAAAATATTGACAAAAATATTAAAATGATCTTACGTACTCAAATCAGGCTAAAATGACGTTTCTTGAAATTTCGGCATGAATTTCTGTTTGAAGTTTATATATTTTGGGTTTGAAACGTAAATATATCTATATATGATGAACCAAATTTTGACGCCAATAGAATGACCGAATAGTTTTAAAACAAGTCAGGACACTTGAATAAACCTCTTAAGTAACAATAACAGATATTTTAGATATTGTATGATTGAAACAAGTCTATGTCATTCATTTGAAAACTTCTTTAACGTTTCCAAAGTTCACTTTGACAAATATTGCGAAATCATAGCGCTCTAACCTGACCCACGCGGGTCAAGTTAAAACCACCATTTTATTCTTTATATGGAGATATATGTGCAATATGACACAAATACCTTGGAAAATGTCTCAGGTACACCAAATATAAAATATCATAAACTAATTTGTACGTTATTGTATTTAAAAAATACAGATTCTATCTTGACACGAAACATAAAAACTTAAATCGTCTTCAGTTCTAGTAGAGAGTCGATAAGAGGGATAGTTTAAGGTATAAGAGGTAAGAGATAATTGTTCTGTGTAAATTAATAGTCTCATGCATAAATCGTGTTGCGTTGATATTTATTAGTTCTTTGCACAAGTATAACGTGTACTATAAAAATTATATGTCCAGTATTATCATTGGCCTTATGGGATGGATATACTTGTTTAGGTCACTAGATTGCACAATTTTATCTTACTTTTGCCAAATTCCCTCTCGGCGTTTAAGTCTTCACAGAGTGTCTCGTGATGTTGCTTGTGATGTACCGCGGAGAGTATATTATAAGATTCCTAATAAGACTGCAGATCCCACATCCGTTTAGGACCTGTTATATTTTATAACAGGTTAGGCTAATGAGGATAAACAGAGCAGTAGAGAGAAAGTCTGAATCTTGTATATGTGTAAACAAAAAGTTACGAACGATATAATATTTCAAAACAAACAAACAAAAACACCTGATATAACGTATCTGTAACCGAAAAACAATATATTTTATCCATTTGAATAGAGCTTGTAAAGGCGACAAAAAAACAACAACTTCAAATTCTGTAATTAAAGGGAAACTAATACTGTACTTATATATCAATATACTTGTCAATGGTGATTTCCATTTTGTAATAATTTACAATACAGTTTTCATGAATAGAATGAAGGGGGAGTTTTAAAATTTTGAAATTGTTTTTTATTATATCAATTTGAGTGAGACTAATAATACAGTTATTTGATCTTCTTGTCAAGTGTAATTTACCTTTGAACATAATTAACATAAATCAGATAACAAAACGGGTTCAATAAATAGAGGGAATATTTGGTCACAAAAATTGATGTTACATTTAAGAATGTTGACTTCATTACCAAATACCTTCTCGTCATTATTGTTAAACTTCATAATTGTTCATATTCGTTGCGCCAAAACCTATTTTAATGAGAGATAATACCAGTTATTTTTAACTACGATGTTCCGTATTTAGTTCCGTATTATAACTTTAAAGCAGACGATACAACATGCAAGCATTAAGCATTTAAATACACTGTGGGGGGGGGGGGGGTTCTGTCATACAGATGCGTTATATAGAAGAGACAATATAATTATGATTTACCAATTTGTTTGTGCGTTTGCCAACAATATCAATTCAATCGAATAAAGATAAAAATTAACCGAGTTTTGTTTTACAGCCGTACCCGTAAAAATTAATGACAAGAGATAGGCTCTTTCTAAAGGCATACAATTGTTAAAGAGCTTCTGATTGGATAAAATAAAACATTCTAGAAATCAGATACATAATATAAAAAATGCTAAAAAGATATATTATATGATATTTTAGAATTTCATTGCACGATACGAATAGCTCTAATCCTCGTGAATATTGGAATAAAGCTAAACTAGTAGAAAACGAATATACAAGTCAAAATGGAACCATGCTTCCCCTTAAAAATCTCAACAAAGGGTGATCCCTCGGACCCTCGGAAGCATTATTCACATGAAAATGATATGACAATTTCAGACTCGGTTTCATTGTGTATGTACATGAGGGATAATAAAAATGTTACATCTCTTAGCACCGGCTTGATAATTGTAATAAAACTTTCTTTTTACCAGATATAGATAAGGAAAATACATTAAATGAGTTTTTTTTAGTTCAATATCATGTTTTGATGCAAAACATAAAATTCCCATATTTTCTTTGAAAACTTATTCCCTTCTTGAAGATTTAGTCTGTATTTGGATCGAACATGGTCCGTTTTACGCTTGATGCATGACTTTATACTTCTATTTTATTTTTGTTAACAATTTAAATGGTCTCTGACATAATTGTATTTGCAGTACGTTGTTTCTCGATAAAACTATTGAAACTGTGGTCTCAATTAGCAACTGTGACAAATATCCATCGTATTTAACATACATAGATTAATTTTCACATACATAATAACGCCGTGTCTGCAATTCTCATCTAATTATATTGTGGGTTGTAAACCTTGTCTGCACTTTTCGTCTAATTATATTATGGTTAGATAACTGTCGATGTATGTTTGGAGTAAGGTTATAAAGAGAGAAATTGCATAACAATTGTTTGTATGTTTGAAGTAAGATTTATAAAGAGAAATTGCATAAACAAATAATTATGTATTTTTGAAGAAAGAAATTGCAAAGAATGTGTTTTTCGCATGAAAAGTGCTTAATTGATAAAGGTAAAATCTTATATATATAGTTTATAAGAGCCATATAATTTATAATTACTGTCAGAGGTTTAAATTTAAGGGCTTTTGGAGTTCATGGAGTAGTGTATGTGTTTAGAACAAGTTATTAGTGTTAGATAATTATTTCCATTCGTTCTATTTTGTGAAACGTATTATGTTTAAATGCTGCATTAGTGTTAGCAAATTTAAAAATATAATGTCAGAATAAATCTATTTTTCAACCTGTGAATGAAACAGGCATTCAAATAAAATCTACACAGATATCTTAATAACGTTAACCAGTGCGTGCTTAATGTATTTATAAATCAATAATTTGTAAATCTA